AACCAGGGGCCAAGCTATGTTATAGCTAGGGGGTGCAAATGCCTCCGTCAAAAATGGGAAAACAGTTATTTTATCTAAAATTTCATCATATATATACCCTTAGACACATATTTATGCACCAACAAGATAAATGCCGGTGCTGTCAGACTCCATCGCCTTTTCTTGGGTGATTTTGGTACGGCTCCCTTTTTGTGCTCAAGTATTTGATTTATAAATGTGGTCTTTCCTCCTGTTTTGTGTAATATTGCTTGCCTGCGTAAAGCTCTACTCTGTGATGTGCCTTGTACTAATCAATAGAGCTGAATGGTGGTGTGAGAGCTAAATTTGTGCAATGTTGCTTGTCTACTCCCAGCTGCTCCCCTCTTCACGCAAGGCCATGCTTGCAGTCCGGTCTGGGGCTTGGCATCCGGTTCTTGCAGGCACTTATCGTTGGCACAGTCTCGGCGTTTATATGTTCCCCCACCAGACCCTGAATTCAGGTAAGTTTTAGATGGCAATACTTTCCCATGCAACCAAAAGCAAATCAAGCAGTGCAAAATATATTGCATAGACATGCCTAACCTGGATCTTTATCTTTCTGTGCAAATTATACTACGCGGCAACCTAAAGTAGTATCTTCAATTTTTTTGCACAAATGGCTTGTACTAGCAGCTATGGTGCAGCTTGTTTGGAGTTTGTCATTGTGGTTTATTTGTTGATGTATATGCTTGTCTCTTTTGCAGGCATAGTCGGTTAGTGTAATGTGGTGGAGGTCCCCTCTCGTGTTTTCTTGTTGTTTGTTTGTGTTTTGGGGACTCCGCGGGTAATCCGAGGATTACTTGTGAGTCATTTGTATCCGTGTTCCAGTCTTTCTTTTGGTCTTTCCTCTTAATGAAAAACGGGTAAAAGACTCGATCGCGGAAAAAATAGGCCACTTTGTAAACGTTGGTTACTCCTTTTGTATACCATCGGTGATGGTGTAAGCAACTCATCTTAGCCTTTTCTAATGCTGTTTAGTTTATTCCACCAAAATGTTAGAATAATATTCTATCAAGTTGAATTGAAAATATCAGTATTTGTGTGTTAAATTGTAGATCATAAACTGCTGAAAATATCAGTATTTGTGTGTTAAATTGTAGATCACAAACTGCCTAGCATGTGTCATAGCGTGGGCATCGTAGGGGGGCTTGAGCCCCCATAGCCCGAAGTCCCCCACGCTAGATCTGCCCGTAAATTTTTATTGCTGTCGATCTCAGGGTATGCGGTTCAAATGATTCTCCCACTTACATGGGGCAACAACAATGGGATTCATTAATGCCATTGTGGTTTCTTGGTTTAAGTTGTATGTATGGTTTCCTTGTTGGACCTTTGTGGTCTAATTAATATCACGTCAAATCTTGATGTAATTTACTATCACGTCAAATCTTGATGTTGTTTCCGTAAGAAATTGACCACACGACACCACTATAACTATCGATCTTTCGCGATGACGAGCGACTAGCACTACTACAAAATTAATTTTAGGAGATAGACCATTTCACTAATGAAGGCATTACAAAATGTTGTTGTCTCCTAAAATTTTATACGACCATGTCATGGTAAAATTTTAGGATGTCAAAGTCAATGATAATTTATGGTTATGGTCCAATTCAGAGGTGGGCGCCATGATTCATGGAGCCATAAACCGTGGCGCCAACCTCTGGCCACGTCTCCAGCCACGCCAGCCACGGCACCGAGCTCAAGGTCCAAAGATGTGTCTTTGACACCCAGGGGTATTAATGTGAAATTTTGACGTAAAAAGGGCTAAATTAAAAAAATCGATATCCACCGCTAATGCCTACATCGGCCTGCATCTCCCTATCTCACACCTATACATGGCCAAAAGGGCGGCACGACACTGGCCCGGACCTAGCACAATTCGGCACAACACGGCATGGCTCTACACTATCCGTGTCGTCGTGCCCATGTCGTGGCCTAGGCACAACACTATGGCACCATGTCGGTGGTCATGAAGTTATTCATGTAGGCCACCTCTAACTGAATTTTATTTTTTTTAAGAAAGCCCTCACTTATATGTGGCATTGGTGCCCTTTTTGATACCGATGTAGATACAGATATGACGTCGATACGTATTTATGGAGTACCACCACCCTCTGTCCTAAATTATAGGTGGTCTTGTCTTTTCTACATACATAGCTTTTTCTATAAACCTAGATGTACGATATGTCTAATAATTTTTTTAATAAAAAAGAGATATACGATATGTCTAGAAAAATCAAACTGATATAAAAAAAAATTTAAACTACACCGATATAAATTGGAACAGATGGAGTATCAAATTTTTTATTAATTTTTAGCAATTATGAATACGTGGGCCGATATGTATCTACTGGTTTGATACGGCCCAACCAGCCCAACAAGCAGCGGTCAGCACGGCAGAAACCTGCCCAGTACCCACCCCGACCAAGTCTCCGGCCAAGTCGCCCCGACTCCGACTACTTCGCGCCGCCTGCCGCACTCGCGCAGCACCGAACCGCCGACGAAGCAGCGGGAGGAGCGAGGGCCGCAGCTTGCCGGCCGCCGGCGACGAGCCTCCGCGGAAGCCAGCGAACACACGGGCGAGTTCTTCCGTCTCCTCCAAACTGCCGCTCCGCGCGTGAAAGCCACCACGGCACCTGCGGGACTGGGGACAGGGGAGAAAACCGGCGGCACAGCATGGATCCGGCGACCTCTGGGCTCCGCCGAGTGGTGATCGTTGAGTTTATCGCCTTCCGGCCTTCCTCATTCTTGGTCTACTCCGTTTCTTTAGTACGGACGAGGAGGTGAGGACTACGGAAGACGATGGAGTGGCCGCCGCCGTCGACGTCACCGTCACCGTCGCTGGTGGTGCGCAGTCCCAGGCAGACGGTCAGCCTGATCCGCAACCGCCGACCCCACCGTGATTGGGCCCCCTGCACCAGGTCCTCCTCCTTCGCCGCCCGCGACCACGGCCCCAAGCCATCGGAGGTGTACGGCTTCGTCGGATCCATCACCACCGTCATCGCCACCGCCGTCTACCTCGCCTGGGCATACACGCCCGAGCCCGTCCTCCGGTCTGTCGGCATCACCTACTACCCTAGCAAGTATGACACACTTCTCTTTTCCCCATCGCCCCTTACTGTCCATGACCTTTTCTTCTTTCGTTTTTGGTCCTTGTTCTTGTTCATTCCGAATAAAAATCTATATCATCAGCAAATGGTTGCAATTCTGTTAAAATCAAATGAAACCTGAATTTCATTAATGCTTGGCATTGATAACTTTGCTGCTTGTATATTATATTATAGCTTAAAAAACTGCTCGATTTGGATGGGTGTCTCTTGCTGTAGCTGATTGCAAGGCTTGCTTTCGTTCAGGTATTGGGCACTGGCGGTGCCATCCTTCTTGATTGTGGCCGTGGTGCTGTCCATGGGTATCTACATGGGCCTCAACTTCGTTGCCACTCCTCCACCGACTTCCTGCGGTACTATCTTCGGTGAGACTGAATCCCCTTCCTCCTTCAACTGATTGTATTGTTTATTTGTTTTGCAAATTCTTGTTTTTACATATTGCCCTTTTCATCTTGTTGCAATGATTTGGTTCGCAGATGAAAATAGTCGGGAGCGCACAACGTTTTCTCCTGCGATTGATGAGATGCCCATTGAACCCATATCAGACATTAGTATTGATCAGATCAACAATCTTATGTTTGGTGATATATGATTTCTCCAGGTGGAATATGAGAGTTTACCATGGAGCTCCAGGTGGAATATGAGAGTTTACCATGGAGCTCCAGGTTGGAAAGAGTAGCAACACGAAGAAAGATTCCATGACAATGAACTGAACTTTCGTATTGCCTGCACAAGCGATTGAGAGCCCCATCAAACACATTTTCAGACATTATTATTGATCAGATGAGATGATTACTCTAGATGGAGTGTGAGTTTACAGCAGAGCGCCAGATTGGAAACAATGGAAACATGAAGAAAGAATCCACATCACGTGAACTTTCATATTGCCTGCAAGCATAACCAACCGAGGAATTCGATCCTTTGGCTTTTCTTTTCTTTTTTCATGAAGGAATCCTTTGTGTTGTGGTAATGTGATACACTGTATTAGACTAGTAGTGCTTTTTTTTTGTTGTTGTTGCTGTGGTGGAGCTTGCATTTGCGTGCACAAACTCTTGTTTTTTTTTTAATTGAAAGGCTTCGTCCGCGTCTATGATGTCTTAGGGGCTATTGGTTTGTTCGCTGTAGTCTACCATTTTTCCACACTTTTTTGTTTGATTGTGGATGGAATAAGTTAGCCCATCACTACTTCATTTCTCATAAGTTAATAAAATATGTGGTGATGCATCACCTCATCTAGGATTTGCGTTGATGTATTCTTGGACGATGATATGACGGGGCATTCCTAGACATACGCTATTGTACAGCATGCCTCAAAAAATATTTAAGTTGACACTCCAACTAGCATAAATCAGACTGTTTTCTTTAACAATTAAATGACCCAAATGCTTTGATAAAATAAATCTCCACACTCAATTTCCACGGGCAATCTCCACTCGGTTTAAAAATATTTATTTAAAAGTTTTGACTCATCAAAAAGTGAGATATGTGTTTATTTTGTGACGGAGGAAGTAATTGCAAGTTGCAACCATAGATAATGGATTTTCATTAATTCAGCCTCTATATCCACGAATAGGTAATAACTATTGTTGGTCATCAACCTTAGCTTTGAGATCTAACAAAACAGTTTTACAGATCAAAACATAACTGATTCATAATTTGAACAGACCTTGGTCATGTTTTAAATAATTTTGAGATTTAAAATATTTGGGTCAAATTTTGGCCCCGTAACCGAGCATGCCAGCTGTACTGGCAGATTCTTTCTTTCACCAAGAAGGTTTTGCGGAACGAATATCCAACATTGGAGTGTGCAGCCATTGTGCTGCCGTCGATCAGCAAGATGGCTTGAGCATAGGCCGTGATGAAGATCAAGTCTCGTCATTTTGTTTCACCATTGGCAGCAGCAGCAGGAGGAGCAGTGGATTCCTTGCCCAGCTCTTCATCCGTGGGCACAGCACGAGCAGGTGCAGCAGCAGCTTCTTTCTCCTGTGCTTCTCTCGCTTTGCCCCAGAGCACCATGTACAGCCCAGCCACGATCAGGACCGCGCCGAGCACGCTGCAGAGACGGGAGAAGCAAAGTAAAGGCGAGGCACAGCAGCAAGCAAGGGCGCAGGCATCGCGTACTACGCACATCCCGAGGTGCAAGGTCTCGTCGAGGAAAATGGAGCTGAGCACCGCGACGAAGACGATGATGAGCGGGCCAAACATGGCCACGTAGAGCGGCCCCCGCTTCCGCAGGCACCACGACATGAGCGGGAACGCGAAGCCCGACGCCACGATGCCCTGCACGCAGCAGAGCCTCCCAGGAATCAATCAAGAAACCATGTCCTGTAACTGTAGATCGATCGATCAACCATCACTTGTCTTCTCACCGCGTAGGCTGACGAGTAGAGCCTGACGTTGAGGCCGAGCCTCCAGTGCGGCGCGTCCCTGTGGAAGCAGAGCGCGAGCAGCGTCGACTGCACCGCGCCGAAGAGGCACACCAGCGCGGCGATGGAGTAGTGGCACGGGAACACCTCGCCGACGCGCGCCTGGATGGACAGCCAGATGGCGTAGCTGAAGCAGCTGGCGATGGCGAGGAACGAGCCCACCGTCCGGGCGGCGGCAGACGACGTCCCGTGGAACAGGACGTCGCCGTCGTCGTGCTGGTGGGCCTGGGCATGGGCGGCGTCTCTGAGCCCGGCCGTGCGCGCGAGCCGGTGCATGAACCCGATCGAAGGGCCCCTGTAGAAGGTGACTAGCATCGCGCCGCCGAGGCCGACCAGGGTGCCCGCCAGCTTCGCTCGCCCACTGGACTTGCCAAGCTTCACCATCTCCTGTCTGTTTTACAAAGATACACTACATGATGGTGAGATCGGTGTGCATGTGAAAATGGGTGGGAGGTGGGGGCGGTACGGTGACCTGGTCAAGATCGCGACGATGAATGTGGACTGAGGAATGAGGTTGCTGAGAGCAGCTACGCCATACAGGAGCTTTGCCGAGTGTCAGCACCCCCAAAATACTTAGTAAACCATTTGCCGAGTGTTATGCTCAGCAAACAGTTTAACGGCAAACGCTATTTTGCCGAGTATTTTTTGTCGGACACTCGGCGAAGACTTTGCCGAGTGCACCAAAAACACTCGGCAAACATTTTTTGAAAAAAAAAACACCAGCCACCGGCCGCCACCACCACCCATGCCGCCTCCCCGCAGCTGCGTCGTCCTCCCCGCGACGCCCGACGCAGCCGCGCCACCTCCCCACGGTCCCGCCGTCCTCCCATGCTGGATCTGCCGCTCCCGTGCTGGATCCCGCCGTGTCTGCCGTTGTCGAAGCCACCGAGCCAGATCCGCGCCGCCACCGAGCGAGGGAGGGAGTATGGGCCCGCGCCGCCGTGCGCCACCGCGAGTGGGGGTCGCCCCGCCATGGATCCGCACCGCCAACGCTGGTGGGGGTCGGCCCGCCCTGGATCCGCGTCGCGGGAGACAGCTGCCGCGAGGACCCGTGCTCGCCGGCCACCGCCTCCGCCCGCTGCCACCGTGGATTTGAGCACCGGCGAGGGAGAGACGCCACGCCACGCCACGCCATGGATCTGAGTGCCCGAGGGTGAGAGGCAGCTCCACCGCGCCACACCACGCCCCGCCCACAAAGCCACGCCGCCGTGCCGCGACCGCAACACCGGGCCACCCCTCCACTCGCCTGTGAAGCAGCCCTGGTGTGCCCGCGCCGCCGTGCCCTCCACCGAGAGAAGTGAGGGAGAGGAAAGAGTGAGAGAGGTGACGGAGAGATGGGGAGACGGGGAGAGAAGTGAGGGCGTGACTGGGAGACGCGAGGGGTGGGTTAAGTATGATATTTTTTTGTTTGCCGAGTGTCCTAGATCGGAGCACTCGGCAAAGTTTTTTTTCATTTTTTTTCTTCTCATTCTTTTCCAGAAAAAAGATTTTATTTCTTTGCCGAGTGTTCTAGATCTGTGCACTCAACAAAGTTTTTTTTATTTTTTTTTTCTTCTCCTTTTCCAGAAAAATTTTATTATTTATTTGCCGAGTGTTCTTTTTTGACACTCGGAAAACCTCCTCTTTGCCGAGTGTTTTTTTTACACTCGGCAAACCACATCTTTGCCAAGTTTTTTTTTTTGACGAGTGTTTTTAGCGCAGCACTCGGAAAAAATCATATTCGCTGAGTATCCAAAGGAATACACTCGGCATAGAAACACTCCGTAAATTTTGAGGATGGATTCCGGTAGTGAGCTGTGCCGATGGTCGTGGAGTTCGTCAGCTTCATGGCAAGCACTAGCAAGTTCTGGTTTATTGCGATTCTGCATTTGTGTCAACAAAAAGGTTATGCATGCACGTGCAAGTCATGCTTGTAGTTGAAATGATAATGATGATTTTTTTTTTGGGGGTGGGGGGGTGTAGTTCAACATTTCTTAGAAGAAAACTGACAACAAATTCTAGAGCTGGTACAAGCGTATAACAAATCACTACCAGAATCGAAGGCTTTGCCGAGTGTCATATTCTTTGTCGAGTGTATTTTATCGGACACTCGGCAAACCATCTCTTTGCTGAGTGCCAAACTAAAAACACTCGGCAAAAATTCTGACACTCGGCAAACTCTCTGTTTGCCGAGTACCTTACTAAAAAATACTCGGCAAACATTCTGACACTCGGCAATTCTACTGAAAAACACTCGGCAAACTCCGGCACTCGGCAAATATGGGAAAAACACTCGGCAAATTACGGCACTCAGCAAACATCGTGCCACGTGTCCCTCCATAAAAAGAGAAAAATAAATAAATAATAAAAAAATCCTTTGCTGAGTGTCTAATATCTAACACTCGGCAAACTCAGATCTAGGACACTCGGCAAATTCGGGCTTATAGGCCCACGCGCGCGTCTCCCCTTATCTATTTCAGCCGCCGGCCGCAAGCCTCTCCCCGCGCTCCCTTCCCTCCTCTCCCCCCGCGCCGCCTCTCCTCTGCGCCCCCTCCCCCCACCCCACCCAGCGCCGCCTGGCCACCTGCGCCCAAGATGCCAGCGCCACCGCAGCACACACGACCGCCGCCGCCGCCCACGGCAGCGCCTCTCCTCTCCCGCACCACACTTCCCCCTCCCATCTCAGATCTGCGCACTCGTCCTCCGGCAACCCCAACGGCGACGGCTCGGGCAGCCTCGGCCTGCGAGACAGGGCAGCCACGTTAGGGTGCGCCCCTCCTGCACGTGGGTTCCAGCTCCCTGCTCTCGTAGGTGAGCGTGCTGCCACTGCAGGTGGACCTCCTGCAGCTACCGCCGGGGGAGCCCACGCTGCGCGGCGTCCTCGACCGCATCTTCATTCACTGGCTCTCGCTTTCGGACACCGCCGCGCTGGGGAGGACCTACACAGAAGGCCAAGGCGAGCGGCGGTGGGGCGGTGGGGGCCGCGATGCTGCCCTCGATGATGTTGTAGGGGGCGCCGCTGTGCTGCCGCTCTCCCCGAGGTCGCCGCCAGCCAGCACAACCTTTCCACGTCGCCGCTCCGCCCGGCCGTCGTTCCGTGCTCCAGCGAAGGTGTGGTGCCCCTCTCTCGCTCAATCTCTCATTGCGGAGTGTGGCGATGGTGACTAGGGAACCGCTGCCCCATTCCCAGGACGTCCATGGTGAGCTCTCCCTCACAATTCCCATGTCTTTTATTCTGCTGCTTTGGATGTGCATATCTTGATGGATTGCTGCAAAGATAAAAATACCTATATGGTGTGCGAGAACCGGGCATGTAAAAAATACTCCTTTAGTTCTTTTGGATGTCGAGGCCTCAAGTTAAGAAATCACCGACCTGGATTTGGATTGAGCTGTCTATGTTACATTCCGATCCATTATTGATTTGCTTTTACATTAACTCTGTTAATTAATTAAGCAGAGTATGGGGGTGCCCAGGCAAACAACTAAGCACACATCAGCTTACATTTTGCAGAAGATGTAATGCGCAAATAGAAAATTCTGTTTAATCTGCTGCTTCCAGTTTTGGCATTATGGATTCCATGCACATTAACTCCCTAATCTATTTTTTTGGTTCTCAACTAAATAAAGTTTGTTGTGCGAACTCATCGGTAAAACCTCTAAATCTGACTACTAATGTAAGAAAAATATACCGTAATGTAAGAAATATACATGGATGGACCACTCAAATAATGTCATTATATTTGAATTTGAGGGAGCAATGTAATAAGAAGATTTTACTGCAAAGTCAAAATACAATTTCCTTGTATGTTTTGTTACCCTGATTGCTTTTAGGGTTAGATGATGTTATACATATAACTTCAAAGCTACGTTTTAACCTTGCACATAATCAAAAGGAATTTAATATTTCCTAAATCTGGTATGTGAACACATCACCTGGTATTTGGTGCATTGGATGTCAGGTGAGATGCTATGAAAACAGTGTCTTTAATATCTTGCATATATCAACCTGATCAATCATTTTGATATGTGATATTTGCGGAGCTGAGATGATATGGAATCCTAGTCTCGTGCCGTGCTGCTCTCCCCTTCCCTAACTATGCATTGTGACTTTTTTTGTTTTGTACTACTCTTGAGTGGCTGTGATGAATCAAGTTTCCATTAGAGAACTTCTGCACTTTAGCACATTATTAGCTGGTACTTGGGATATTTTGTTCTGTTTGCTGCTTAACTAGGATGGCTTGTACCAGTAAAGCAACCAGTTCTGTGGCCAATTCAATTCCCATTAGAGAGAGAGAATTAAATTAAGCTCCAGGTGAAATTAAGTTGCAGTTGTCATTCTGATAATGGGTAAATCTGAGCCATTTCTCGAGTTTTTTTTTCCTCTTGTTCTTTTGCTCCAAGTGAGGAAGGAGAAGCTAGGGGATCAAAAATGTTCTTCTAATAGAAAAGGTTCTTCTCACACAACTTATGCTTCTTTAAATTTCTCACACATAGTTCTGTAAGCCAACAATCCATCACTGAAATGGTAGCTCAAGAAAACAACAACAACAACAACAACAAAGTCTTTAAGTCCCAAACAAGTTGGGATAGGTTAGAGTTGAAACCCAGCAGAAGCAATCAAGGTTCAGGCACGTGAATAGCTGTCTTCCAAGCATTCCTATCTAAGGTTAAGTCTTTAGGTATATTCTATCCTTTCAAGGCTCCTTTTATTGCCGCTACTCAAGTCAACTTCGGTTTTCCTCTGCCTCTCTTCACGCTACTATCCTGGACTTTAGCACCTTTTTCTAGCAAATAGATGTTTTCCTAGCACCTTTTTCTAGAAAACCTTTTTCTGCATACATAAACTTTTATCTTCTGTTTGCGATGGCCTCTTTTTTGCCTAAGAGGTGGGTGTCCAGTTCATGGCTATATAGAAAAATCAAGTCATTGTCCTATTTTTTTTAGGAAAAGTAAATAAAAGAATAACTATTGGAGTTGGCCGTGCACTGGTTGCTGCTGCAAGGTCGAAGTTCACAGTGAATTTGAATGATATAGTTAGTTATCAGTGTGTAAACATGTGGTTATTTCTATACCTAAGGGTGAGACAACAAACTATGTTCACATTTCTTCCTTCTTGCAGCAGTGAAGAAGCCAGTTTCATAAAGAATGGAGTAGAAGACATGTCTACTGGGGTGCTGATGGTTTTACCTTCACTATTTTGGTATCATAGTTTTTGATTTTTTTCTGGATGTTGATTCTTCTGAACTTATACCTGTCATTAGTCTCTTAAATTTGTCATCTTCATTTCTATGTCTATGTGGTTATTATGAGAATTATGTTGCCAGGAGCATGATGTGCATGCAGATATGGTGTATTAAGAGTGTTTTGTATGGCAGCTATTAAACTGAAATATGCTGAGAAAAAAATTATTATTTTTCTTTGGAAAATAGGTTTGCCGAGTGTAATTTCCAAAAACACTCGGCAAACAATAATGGTATGCTGAGAAATTTTTTTTCTTTAGAAAATATGTTTGCCGAGTGTAATTCCCAAAAACACTCGTCAAACAATAATCCTTTGCCGAGTGTATTTTGAAAAAACACTCGACAAACCACTTTGTTTGCCGAGTGTCAAATTTGATACTCGGCAAACCATTTGTCGAGTGCGCGATAAAAACACTCGGTAAATAGCTATTTGCCGACACTGTAGATGTCGTGTGCTGTTTGCCGAGTGTTACACTCGACAAAGCCTTTGCCGAGTATTTTTTGATCTTTGCCGAGTGCCTAAGTCACTGTTTCCGGTAGTGAATTGTAAAATCTAGCTCAAATACATAGGGCAGTTTACAACTGACAACAAAAATCACCCAAAGAAATGATGGCAGCACTTACCCAAAAAGTCCACACAGGAACAACCCTAGCACCACCTTCAGGGTTAGTGGTGGCCGTTTCTTCCTGCAGGAAGTACACACAAGGCGCTTGCTTATTGCTACAAGTAAAAATACACCTATGAAAACAAAGTATTCGAAGTGGACATTTCCAAATTAAGGCCATGATCAATTGTTTGTCTCGTTTTTTTTTTTTTGTCTGTGGGAGGAAAGTGTCTAAATGCATGGTTTTAGGAATTGAAATAAAGTAACACTAAAGACAAAAAGGCTGCCGCATGTATACACTGTGGGCCTGTTTGGCAGGGCTTCTCCCTAGCTTCGGCTCTGACTCCTACGGATGAGCCCTGCCAAACGTTTTCGAGCAGAGGAGCCGAAGCCGTTTTGGCTGCTCGGGAGGAGCTCCTCGAGAGAAGCTGTGCCAAACACTGAAACACCCCCTAATACACATGTTAGCGCATGCACTTGTTGGCAGCACGTTCCCATGCACGTTACCTCTCGAGGAGGAAGGCGAGCGGGCATAGGAAGGCGGTGGCGAGCATGAGGCGGTAGGCGACGAGGACGCGGACGTCCATGCCGTCGTCCAGCGCGAGCTTGGTGAAGATCTGCAGCGCCGAGAAGACGAACTCCACCGCGACCATGGGCACCGCCGGCTTCGTGCCGTGCACCACCACGCAGCCACCACCGGTCCCCATGCCACCACCACCAGCTCGATCGGCTGTCGGCTCAAACACACCACGCACCCTCTGCTACCACGACTATCGACTCAAGTGCAGGTGAGGTGATAACAAGGCTGGCCACCAAGTGCACGACCCATATAATGACACGACCAGTGGTTGGCACGAGACCAACCAAGCAGAGCAGCTGGCCGGGTGCCCGGGTATATGTGTCCAGTCCTAAGAAGCTGCGGCGGTAGGTGCCAGGCGCCGATTTTCTCGGTGTCGTCGGGAACGAGGCGGAGGCACGGCATGGCATGTCGCGAGAACCGATGGCTGCACACTGCAGAGGATGGATCGATGACGAGCCTGCTGGTGTGACTGCCCGGTGTCGCTCGCAGTGCGTCGATCAGTACGTAGACTCGGCTAGTCTGCTGGCTTCAGAATCGATCGTTCTGAGGGCAGGGTCGTCATGTCGCGCTCGCTGCCTGTGTGTGCCTACTGCCTAGGCTAAGGACAGCGCTTAATTGGCGGTTTCTGTCGCACAACTCGGCAGGGCAGCTCGATGTGCGTCCTATTCGCTTAGCTTATAAATCGTACTTTTTTAACCAACGAAGAGTATTTTTCTTTCACAATAAATTAATCTTTTTCAGCCAACGAAGAGTATTTTTCTTTCATAACAAATTAACCTACAGTATTTTCAGTCATAGCTTATCAGCCAAACAAACATAGCACCAATCGATATTGTTCATTTTTGCTTCATTAATTTAGAGCCTTGTCCTTGCTAGGACTAGTATTTCTTATAATAAATACATTATATATTATATATATAGGACACTGCAAGGCAGAACATACAGTAAAGTTCTAGGAATCTGTTCGCCTAGTGATCACTTCAGACGACAGGAACAACAACAGCACCAACAGCAACGAAAATACTTGAGCAAGTATGTTTCGAGCTGTACACTCATTACACTATGCCTTACAAGGACGAATATAGTTAAGTTGAACCATGGCATGCTTCAAAATACAACAGCTGTTTGCTTCCTAATGTTGATCCATTTCCCATTTCTCTATATCAAGGATAATATATAGTTTGCATAATCCTTTTTCAGAGAACGCATATGCTGCTCTTCTATGCTCTTAATAAAAACTCACAAAAAAAAAACGGCCTGTGTCTGTGTGTATATTTGAGAAGAAAAGATTTTTTTTACTTCCAGTAGATTGTCTGCATCGAACTGTCAATAACCAATAGGAGTGCTAGCTGTAGGATCTATATGCAAAGCTATCTTTTCCGCGCGTCGCACTCCTTGTCACAAAATTATGAAGAACCGCCTGTGCGGCTGTGCCCATAAACTGCATGAGGCAGCAGTTTGTCAAACTTCTGATGGGTCTGCTCTCTCTAGCACAAATATGTTTTCTTTGTCATCTCTTCCAATCCGTAAAGATTCATCAACATATCTATTCAAAAAAATTGAGGAAGACATGTGTATAGTATATCTCTGCTGCCATCTTATTAATTAATCGACACTAAATTATTTTTGCAGCGATCGGTCGAATAGCTAGTAGACATACAAAAAGAACAAAGAATTTGCAATACAGCAATAGCAAATTATTAGTAATCCACATAAAAAATAAAATTTAAGGATACGTTATCTCCAGCCAACCCTCTGGATTGAATATGTCCAGGAGCATGTCGTAGTTCTTCTGAAATATGTTCATCAGCTGCATATATATCCAAATGTGACAATCAATTAAGATTGAAGACAAACAGTAGACTTAACACTATGAAAATTCATGGTATCATTCATGACCTGGAAGTAGATAGTAGTACGCAGTTTTACCTGCTCAGGAGTGATAGTTGAACTCTGCAGCTTGATATCCACCCTCTGAAACAAGAAGCCACAGGTTGTGAGGAAGTCTGCCCAAAACAGTCTCTAACCAAGATCGTGAGCCAATACCAGGAAAAAAAAAACTTACTGTTTGGCTAGCAACAGTGTACGAAGCTTCGATGGTGAGCTTCCCCGAAAATATCTTGAATGCTCTCGCGCTGAACTCTATCACATTTGCCGCCTTTTCCTTTTGGGTGTAGAGAAGTGACGCTAAATCTCCATTTATTTCAAGTATAGCACATATCAAAACTTACTTTGTATGCAATTAGAATATCCAGACAACACTCAATTTAGATATAGTTCATTGACCCAGTGTGATTAGTTTATGTATCAAGAAATCAAGTTTACGGTAGTATTAAAGGTATATTAAGTTGGAGCAGATGAAGCGTGACACGCGACCGGTCAGGAGAGGATCAGAATTCAGAACAACATAGCATATGCATTGTATGCATGCACGAGTACAACACATTGCCTCCACAAGCAGGGGGGGAGGGCGCGGGCTAGGAGAGGCAAATGTTTGCAACAAAATCGTACAGGGTGGCTTCATCTGCTCATGGATGCAATGCATACAACGCCGGCTGGTAGCGCGGTGATTAGGAGAGTATCACAAATTCAGAACTCACAGACACTAGACAAAAACATTGACATGAGAAAAAAAATTTACAGCAGGTAGCCTATACTGACCTCTTTGACGTCAATTATCTGGAGGAAGTCCCCTAAGCTGATGAAATCTCGCAGTCCTAACTTGGTTCTCTTCTTCCCCAGTATTGAGATGGTAGTGTAGATGAGCTTCCAGCATCCATCCACCTTCCACCACCCAAACAAAACACCCCCACTGTACATGTCAGTACTTTCCTGAACAAGCAGTTGGCATACACCCTTCGAACGGCACAGCTAGCATTCCGCTATATATCAGGTGGCTAAAACGTACGGTAGCTAGTTATAAGAATGAAAAGGTGCAATCCGCGCATTTCAAGGCTTTCAAATGCTCTGTTTCTTGCATCTAGCATTATATCCCTAGTTGGCAGTAGTGATGATAAGGATAAGCTATTAGTACAAGTTACACTCGCCGTAGGTACCTTGTCCTGCAGCTTGGCGGTGGGCTCCGGAGTGGGGTTGCTGGACTCGAGCAGCTCCACCAGGCCATGGATCTCCGACCGCTTGGCGGACGTCATCCCGAATATCCCTCGGTTGGCGCCTTCCAGCGCTCCGTACAGCGCCGCCTTGACGTCGCCAGCAGTCCCATACACAGCCGCCGCTGCCGCTGGCGCCTGCTCGGGAGGCACGGCCGCAGCCGCCGTCACCGATCCCCGGCGCCGATGCCGAGGGGGCAGCAGTGCGCAATGCGAGGGGGCGCCCTGCCCGCTCGTCGTCGCGGTAGCGCGGTGGCACTGCGCCGGTGGGAAGAGAACGGTGGCTGCCATGGCCAGCCACCCAGCCGGCCGGCCGGCTCGGCTGGCTAGAGAGCGTGCTCACGGTCGCAGGGCGGCCTCAGCTCCATGCTCCTGCTGCTTCGCTACGCACTACGCTCGCCCGGGAGGCGTTTTGTTAATACGTGGGGTGGGAGGTGGGAGGTGGCCGGCGCTCTCTTGGCTGCAAAAACTCTGGCCACATATACGAGGATAACGTTGTGGCCGGGCAGGAGCAGGAGCAGCAGCAGCTGGAGCGCCGCGCTAGCAATTGCCTATCACACGCTTGCACCTGCAGTCTTGCACCGCTCTTCTTGACTTCTTGTTCCACAGCAAGACATCAATCGCCACGTGAACCTGGTTACTCGGTGACTCGCTCCACATGCGGGGGGTAGCTCACTAGCTCGGATCTTCGAGCCTGCGATCGCGGGCAGGAGACACGTGCGAGCGGCCAATTCAAGGACAGGTGCACCCGTGGAACACGCACAGGCACACAGCACAGAGACGGAGAGGAGGAATCCTGAATAAACAAGGGCGAGGAGGGAGTGCGCGTAACATGGGCTGCTACTTGAGACAGACAACATGCCCACGTGCAGTTAATGACAGTTTGATATAAGATGACTATCCCGATGCTAGTTGAATCTCATATACGATTCACGGCCTGTTCAGGATTATTTACTGCTGGTTTGATATGAAAAAAAAAAAACTGTTTCCGGTTGAAAATTTACGATCGTTTACGAGCAAGCGAACAGGCTGTCAGCCGCTGCGGATTCAAATTCGGGGATGAAAGCGAGTCGGTAACGCACTCCATCCAACATTTCGGATCTTTCTTTAAGCTTCGATTTGATACAGCTGGGCATTTCAAAGAACAATAGCTTTAGTACCCATCTTCAACTATATGCCTATAACGATACAGCATGAACTTTTGCAGTAGCACGATAATTACCTCCACAAAGCACGCAGACTTGGATACCAATAACCATGAACCACCTGATACAACATTAACAAATGTCGGGATACACAAACTGTCCAAGTGAATGAATATACAAACAAGCGGTGACGACCGCAGGAGGCTGGCGCAGACCAACAATCTGTGGTGACATTTGACTCGTGGAGATTATACAATTAGATGGTCGCGTGCAGCAGCACCTGTACCCCCCTTTTTATCTTACAACACCAAAAGAATGGATCAAAATTCATAACACATGACAACAGGATGATAATTACAAGAAATAAAAAAACAAAACCCACATGAGGGGGAAAAAGAAGGAAATTCCAGGGAAGAGGCTACGCCAATGATTGAAAGATGCACTAAGCTCACCGGCGGCGCCTGGAGACTACAGGAGAACTTGTACCAGTCTGCTGCCTTCTAAAACTAGGCGACGACGTTTGAACGGGGGCATGCTGTGGTACTTGTGCTTGGTAAGAAGAATATGCAGCAGGCTTTGAGCCTGCTGGCGCAGCTGTTGATTGAAGGGTTGACTCCATGAAGCAGGCTATGTTCAATCGAGTCCTCTCCAACTCCCCTTGCAGCAGATCGCTACTGTACTGTTGAGCAAGCACCTGGAAAGAAAATTATATTTTGTTTTGGTTGTGAAAATAGCAACAGAAACTGAAACTTTCAGAAGACAGCAGAAAACTCTGCTTTCACAAAATTGATGTCACACTACACTGACAGATGTGTTTTCCATCTATCATCAATTTGAAAATCCATAAGTAGAATATTTCTGTGCACTTACAAGCAAATCATCTGGTGATACCGATGGTTGTCTATCATCTGATGCTGCATCTTCACTGCCACGGGTTGGTCGACGTTGGTGTCCAGGATTTTCCATGGCTTCTGCAACACTTTCACAGGCCTTTTCCAACAAATTCTCTTGTAAGGATTTCATAGCCTGTTGCGCCTCGGGTGAGAAGTATGTTTGTAGTACAGTCTCAAAATACTCAAGCTGCAGGAATATAACACAAAAGGTAGTAAACCAAGCAGAGTACTTGAGCCGTTAGCCCTTAGCATAGCTATGACTTGAGAAGAATCTAGTGGCAAATAAAAATAACAAACATTTACCTCAAGCATGAGTTGACAAAAACCATTAGCATCCAACATTCTAATATCTTTGGTCTTATTCTCATGAAAAACACTAAGAAAGATGTCGACCAAACCCTCAACCAAAATTTTCATTGTCTTCTCCAACAAAGGCCGAGCACCAGAGTATACCTGAAAGTAAAAGGTGAGAATTGCATCTACTCTTTTCATATATAGATGAGGATACATAGTCAAATTGTACTCGTAAGACAGACAATGCTGATGACATAATAAGATATATGTAACAATCAGAAACGAAATACATGCCGTAAAAGGATGGCCATTCACAAAATGAACAGCATAGGAGGCTGGGACTTTCATTAGCATTTCTTTATCTAAGTAATGAATAACTCAAACAAACTTTGAAAGAATGCTAAGTATTTTTTTTCTTATTATGCACAATATTTCATATATTAGAAGGTGAAAAGCACATAAATAACTGATCTTTCCAGACACCCATCCTAAGAGTAAAATTTGTGAGTTGTCACCAACCAGATGGACAAACACTGTACCCAGTACTACAAAAATACTAAAATTTCAGCTACTTCACTTAGCATTGGGGCTTTTTGCTGATGCAAATATGAATACAACAGTATTGACATAGAACCTGTGGGCCCAAAAATCACACCAAAACTCCAGTAAAAGTGTTTGTTCTTATGCCAATTTCAAGCATTTCAGGAAAGACAATGATGTCATGACAAGGTTTAATAAATAATCAAAATAAGAAAATAAATTGATGGAAACCTCTGCATGTACTGCTACAAGGATGTGCAGCAAGTCAAGAGTTGCATCTCGAATGCCCTGCAACGAGAAAGCAATAACATTGATGAGATTGTAGTTTCACAAGACAACAAGAGACATTGGTACAACAACAAACACAAGGATGCCAAGCCATTTCCATAAATGTACCCAAACGGCAGTCACAGTTGTAATCCACAACATATTCTGAATGTAACTGATCTTGCAGTAAATAGCAAGATGTTACAAAGTTTGAACTAAATCGCATGATGGAGATTCAAGATCCATCATACCTTTCATTGTTTCAATTTTTTTGGAACACATACAGTGCCACAACATAAATGGACTTTGTGTTTTAAATTTATACTACATACCTTTACCATTGGTGCTGCTCCCCAATAAATCCCAGAATCCAAAAGATAACTTTGTGCAGCACTTCTGATCAAGTTTGACTAATCAAACAACAACAAAATATCAGGATTAGTAAAGCAAAGGTAAACACCATAATGTGCAAAAAGTTAAAATATTGATATTCAAGAAAACATTTCTCTAGCATCAAGTAGGGCCTATGGAATTTCATAACACATCAGATTTACAATTGTCCCTAGCATTCACAAGATCAGTGAAACTTCCTAGCGCTTCATTAAGTGCTATGGACCTGTGACAACTATTCTAAACTGCTATATGCAGTTGTCCAAGGCACAAAACAGTATGATATAACAATATATCAAAGCAAACAAAATAGCTCCAGTATTTATCACAATAACTGGAACTTCCAAAAAAATTGCTGTGCTCTTACAAAAAGTAAGTAATTATGAAGCTACACTAAAACAAAGTTTGTTAGTTCTCCCAGTTCATTTCATGTGCTTTAGTAAGTTTTCAGAAATTATTTGTACTATTTGAGGAATGGCCGAAAGGAGAACACTATATCTGTATCAGATTCTCACCTATAAGAAAGGAAGATACTGGGGTTAATCAACTTTGCTAAATCATGCATTCGTAGTTAATCAACTCTATGTCCTGAATTGTGTATCATACCTTTGCAAAAGTATATTGGTCCAGGACTTTCTCTTCAAGTGCAGAGAAAGAAGTCATCAGATCTCGCATGTCAGAACTTCGCTCATCATTATTCCTGTGACAAAATTTTCATTGAATAGATTAGACATACCTTGAGAACAGCTTCTATAATGAGTACATGCTTTCCAACACACAGGGAAGGAGGGGGAGACTTCATGAATGCTATCAGGTACCTGACTGGAGACCAAATGTGTCTATATTTGGTGTACAGTTCTTCTGAAAGTTCAGCTTTACAATACCCAATGTTACTCAAAACAACCAGCAGCTTTTTGTGCAAATCTCCATCTGTGTTAGCAGATGTTTCTCTAGTACCATTTATGTATCCGTTTTGGACATAATTGTTTTCTTTGTTTGGTCTGTTCTCAGTTAGTTCACCTCCAAACCTCTCCAGATAACCTAAAGCAATTACAAAGATTTTCAGAGACCATAACTAGAGAATGATGCTAAAAAGGTTCCTCTACCTACTTCTTAGAGAAATTCATACCAGCAAAATCCAGAAAGGAATTCAAAAATGCAAGTCTGACAGACTCATTAATTTCCTGAAGTGGTTGAGAAATGTCAAATGACTTCGCAGTCTCGCTCATCAGATTAAGAATCATACTGAAATAAACAAACACAGATTAGAAACCTGTTCAGCACTACCAAAAATGAAGGCAGGAAAGTACTTGACATTCCCAAATTTTGCAGCGCGGGGATAGAGAGAGAGAGAGGGGGGGAGGGGGCTTAGAACTTAGAATATACTGAACATAGAGCCTGGAGACTGATGTGTCATCACTTTAGAAGGTTGCACTCAAGACAAATTTCAGATTTTGCAGAGCAAGAGACAAGAGAGACACAAACCTTGAAACTCAGATGAAAGGATTCATTCATAGTTAAGACAGGATAACCAGAAACATGTAGCACAAAAGGCACAAACCTTTAGGTTATTAATGGCAAAAGCTTAGCTTGATCGTTACAACAATTAAAGCTAGACTGCTGTAGCAATAAAATTTATACAACACAGTACGGCAAATTCCTTCCTGAATCCTGACTGTAAAAACTATACTTAGTTACTTACTGCCAAAAAGGAATACTGCTTAAGTGCAACAAAAGCAATAGTTATCTATTAGCAAATACT